TCGTGGTTCTGGTGAAGCAGGTGTGGGGCCGTTAGCTGAGCGCCGTGTACTTGGGCTTCATACCTAAGCCCCGTCTGCATAGGTGGGAATTGGGTCTTTGGGTCACATATGCAAGGAAGGCAGGAGAGACAGAATAATTTTTTATACCCTTAATTTTATTTACTTTTAAAATACATTTGTATTGCCGAAACCGGTTTGGCTCAGTGGATAGTGTTGGCCTGCGGACTGAAAGGTCCCAGGTTCGATTCTGGTCAAGGACATGTACCTGGGTTGAGGGCACATCCCCAGTAGGGGGTGTGCAGGAGGCAGCTGATCGATGTTTCTCTCTCATCGATGTTTCTAACTCTCTATCTCTCTCCCTTCCTCTCTGTAAAAAATCAATAAAATATATTTAAAAAAATACATTTGTATTGATTTCAGAGAGGAAGGGAGAGGGAGAGAGAGATAGAAACATCAGTGATGAGAAAGAATCATAGATCGGCTGCCTCCTGCACGCCCCACACTGGGGATCGAGCCCACAACCCCAGGCCTGTACCTTGACTGGGAATCGAACCGTGACCTCCTGGTTCATAAGTCAGCGCTCAACCACTGAGCCGTTCTGGCTGGGTTATAGCCTTAATTTTAGAACAAATCTATGCTCTAGCAAACTGAGGAATTTTAATGCAGCAGCAGAATACTCATTCTTTAGGCTCTCTTTTTGTCCATAGCGTTAAACACTGACATGGAAAATGATGGTGATTATGTCTAGTATTGTACACACTACTCACCCAGGATATGTAGTTTTTTCTTTTTTGTATGAACGAGCTCTCCACTTACTGTGTCCCTGCAGTTATCTAAGCACTTGGTAATTGGAGCTGATATGTGGGCAGAGAGTTATTAATATTTGTGATTCTTAGATTTATGACGTGGCTGTGCTTGCACATCTTGGTTTGAGCCCATCCATATTGTTAGTACGAATAATTGACTGAACAATAGGTAAGTATCCAAGGCCCCGTACTGCCCCCCTGGTCTCTGAAGGATAATCCATCCTATCTTATCTCAAAGAGAGAATATTTTGAATAGGAATTTTCTCCTTAGAATAATTTTCAGTCTCATTATTCTAACATTACATGGAGATCCTGGGATAGTAAAGAAAGGATGACTTGTTCAGGTCACATATGCTGGGAGCCTTGCTTTTATGATGCTAAGAAAAACGGAAAAAATGAACCAGTGAAAGCCGCACGGACCACTCCTGCGTTGGACTGCCATTGATTGAACACCTACTGTGTGCCCGGTAGAAGAGAAGACAGAGAAGGAAGACGAAAGCAGGGGCTTGTCCTTTAAAAATTCACAGACAAAAAATTAAGAATGGAGTCTTGGCCAGTGTGGTTCAGGGGTTGAGCATCGACCTAGGAACCAGGAGGTCACAGTTCATTCCCCGTCAAGGGCACAGGCCCGGGTTGTGAGCACGATCCCCAGTAGGAGGCGTGCAGGAGGCAGACAACCCATGATTCTCTCTCATCATTGATGTTTCTCTCTCTCTCTCTCCCTCTCCCTTCCTCTCTGAAATCAATAAAAATACATTTTTAAAAAAATAAGAAAATGTCACAATTAGATACAAGACTCTTGATGGAAAAGCAACGCGTGGCTTTGTCTCGCCCTGATTGTCTGGGTGTTTGCAGTTCACATGCGGGGGAGGAAGCCGGAGATACAGCACAGGCTTGTCTGACTCGGGGTCTGGCCGGACGGTGGGGGCAGAGGAAGCAAACTTGCCCTCACAGAACTGGTCCTGGGGTTGTGGAGGCCGTTTGTCATGTAATCACGAAAGCGGGAATGAAAGCAGGATTAAAGCCGACATTAAAGATACCATTTGCTGCCGAGTAAACGATGTATGCTTTATAACCCCATTAAGGACGCCACCTTCCTTAATTTTCGCAGACCCGGAGACTTGCAGGGAGGCGCCTATTAACTGCCGAGATAATGTTCCTAAATCTTCATAATTTTAAATGAGAAACACTTGAGCTGTTTCCCAGCCGCACGGGGAGAATCCTTCCCATCCGTGAAGGCTTATTTCACCATTAACCCCTTCGCTGGAGCGGCGTGGCGAGCGTGTGGAAAGGACTGATTCTTTCTGCACTGGTGCCAGTAGCCGGGGTCTCAGACCCACGGCGAGGGGATGAAAAGCGCGGCATCGGGCAAGCGCCGGCCTTTCGGAGATGAATCCTCGTTAGAGCAGCCTCGCAGGGACGTGTCGCCTGATTTCTGTTTATTGATCAGATGCTTCCTGTCCCTTTTATCACGTGAAGTGAAACTCCCCCGAGACGGGATCACGGTGCATGCACAGGCTGGGCCCAGAATGCAACGCAGGGCGACGTTGGTCTCCTAGCACCTTCTCTCCTCCTAACACACTCCCCGTCCAGGCAGGTTTAAGGGCAGATCTGTGGGCAGAGGGAACGCCCTAAATATTGGGCCTTATGTCCCAAATAAGAGACGAGCCACTCGTGCTCTTCCTAATCAGACGCAAATGCTCCGGAGTCATGTTGACAATAAAGCTCTGGGAATGTTTGCTTCTGTTTGTTAGAAACTCGCAGTAAGGAGCCAGTGAAAAACAAAGGAAGACCCGGAGCAGGGAGGCCTGGAACAGACTGACACACCTCCATGTGGGGTTGGGGGGACGAGAAGAGATAAACCAAAGAACTTGTATGCTTATAGGCAAAGCCCATGGACACGGGCAATGGGGTGGGGAAGACCTGGAGGGGTGGGGAGGGGGAAAAATGGGAGAGATCTGTAATACTCTCAACAATAAAAAATACATTAAAAAGCAAAACAGACGCACTCAGGTTTTGTTATGCATTTTGTAAGAGGAAAGGGGTAATAGGTTCTTGTCCCCTCATTTCTCAGATGCTCCCAGCCCTCCCCTCCCCCCTGCACCCCACCTTGTGGCCGCGGGAGCACAGGAAGTATCTCCAGGCCTCATCCTCACCTTCCCTTACTGTGGCCGGATCCCGGGAGCGACATTCCCGCCCTGAGTGACCCACAGAGCCCGGGCACAGACCCATCCGAGGGGGGTCGGCCATGAGGGGCTTGGTGGTGAGCGCGCTGATTGGCTGACACTTTGCCTGGCGTGGTGGTTGGCTCCTCCCTCATTTGCCGGGTCTTGAACCACCGGGATGGTGGCAGTCAGTGGATCCTTAGTTTTTCTGTCTCACAAGAAGGTGGGAGAGAGTGGGAGATGTGAAAAGTAGGGAAGACGAGAGCCCGTTCCACCCGGGGCAGCTCTGCCTGCTGGTCCCGGGAGTGGTTCTGACTGTGCCAGGGGCCAGGGACTAGTCTTCCTTGTTGATAAAACTACACTACATCTATAGGGTGTCCCAAAATTCACGCAAGAAGTAATTTTGATAGAAAACACAGGTTTATAATTTAAAATTGTAAATTTTTTATTGATTCATAAAGTATACAGTATAGGGTTATGTATGGAATAGCACATCGGGTAAATGGCCTCCACGGCTTTGCTGGCACATACGCAAAGCTGTGGTCTTCATTGATCTTCATTGTCCCTGCTCCTGGGCCATAATTGGTACTTGGTAATGCTTATCATATTGAAGGGATTGAAATCAAAGGGCAACAGATACTAGAATCTGATTCAATAAACCAAGTAAAATTAGGCTTTTATTTTTTTGTTGTTGTTGTTAATGCTCACGAAAAATTCACATCTTGCGTGAATTTTGGGACACCCTATATTATTAACAAATCCTTCTAAAATCCACACATTTGCCCAGCTGGTCTGGCTCAGAGGTTGAGCGTCAACCCAGGAACCAGGAGGTCACCGGTTCGATTCCCGGTCCAGGGCACATGCCTGGGTTTGGGCTTGACCCCAGTAGGGGGCATGCAGGAGGCAGCTGATCAGTGATTCTCATCGTTGATGTTTCTATCTCTCTCTCCCTCTCCCTTCCTCTCTCTGAAATCAATAAAAACATATTTTTAAAAAATAAATAAAATGCACACGTATCACACAGATAGGTAAGCAGGCAGAGTGGATCCTCGGGGACTGTAGTTGTGAACGTGTGTGCACAGTCTGCCCTCAGTTAACACCAGTTGGACCTCCCAAAGTTCTGTATATAAGTTGGCAAATACAGTAGCATAGTTGTAGCAATTTTTTAAAAAAATCAGAGTCTCGTATTTCTCAGATATCTAACGGACATGTTTTCAGTTCTCTAAAGCTCCCCTGAAGGGCGAGTGTTCTCGAACTGTCCCCCTGGCTCTGGCTCCCAGCCGCCGTCCCTGCATCCTGCCTGCTGTCCGTGTGGGCAGGCTGGGCTCGGCCTCCTGCTGGTCCGCCTGGCTCTGGGCAGCTTCTGCTTGGACAACGGCATTTAGACTAGGTCTGACACTCACCATTTTTTTTACCATTTAAGAATGCAGCACAGTCCTGGTTTTTTCTTTCTCATTGTACCTCTAAATTTAGCATGGTCTTACCTACGGGAAAAAAATGAATGAATAGTTTTATTACCTTCATAGAACAGCTCATTGAAACTGAAGAACATTGAGTGTATGTGGAACAAGGGATTGGACAGGACTGGCCCACAGGAAGGTTAAAATGTTACTGTCTTTTAAAATCAATACAGGTTTTAACTGTCTGATTGATATTCATTTTAAGAGACAGGCCTGGATGGCGTGGCTCTGTGGTTGAGCATCAACCTAGGAACCAGGAGGTCACAGTTCGATTTCTAGTCGGGGCACATGCCCGGGTTACAGGCTCGGTCCCCAGTAGGGGGCGTGCAGGAGGCGGCCGATCCATGATTTTCCTCTCTCATTAATGTTCCTATTCCTCTCTCCCTTTCCCTTCCTCCCTCTCTAGAAGAGAGAGAGAGAGAGAAAGAGAGAAGGAATATAATTTCCCTGATTAAAATTTGCATCGAGAAACGGGTTCCGTTACTGAGTAACCTCTGTTGGCTGAGGCAGTCATTGTTCCTAAACTAAAAATGCCAGAACGATTCCCACTTTCTGTGTTTTCTCCTCAGAGACTTTTCAAATCCATCGAGTTGTCCTGGGCCACAGTCAATATTTTAAAGTCAAAGGGCCGCTTCATGGCCCCCGTCCGGTAAGCAGCCCGCACCCTGCTTCCGTGTCTGTCCGCAGGGGACCCAGGAGCAGGGAGGGTACCGGGAGGAGTGAAGGGGCAGGTACCTTCTCTCCTGGAATGCCAGGTAAATTAAACTGCTCCGTCCACGGACCAACCTATCATCTCCTTCAAGATGAACCCAGAAGCAGGAGTCGGCCTTCTTTTATTCCTGATCAGGAGATTAAAATTGATCACTGGCCACACCAGGGAGCCGGCCGCGGGACCACAGCTCGATGCCCTTAACTAGGACGGGGCTCGCCTCCTGTTCCCCCTAACTGTGCACTTACAAGTTCCAAGTAGGGTCGATGCCGGGTCACCCGGGCTGCGGGCAGCTGTGTGACCTGGCCGTAGTTTGCTGTGGGTTTTTTTTAAAGGATAATGCGGTGAGCCCGGATAGCCACGGGAACAGGTGTACGTTGAAATTTGACAAATGAAGATGTATACTTTCTTTTTTGGAGCTGGCAAACCCCTTCACGTGGAAATAATGAATGAAAATTTGATGGCTGGTTTACCGTAGGTCCAATGACTTGCCGTGGAAGAGGGAAGAAGAACACTTTAATTATTACCCTTTCATCACAGGGAACTGATGGTAGGGCTGCCGGTAGATCTGGGCTTAAAGGAAGACCTTTCAGGAGGCATCAGGCAGATGAAAGCAGGCGTCGTTTACTTACAGTCGTCGGAAAACGGAGCGTAGGTGGGATGATGTGTGAATAATTACCTACTGCTCTTTAAAGCACGTTGGTGTGTGTTTTTTTCTTTCTTGTGAATAAAAAACGACTGTGTTAACATTCAGAACATTTAAAGTACCGCCGATCACTCTATGCTAGGCTAAGCTCCTCCTTCCTCCTCCCTCGTCATGAGATGTATATGCGCTCCTGAGTGTACAGTTCATGGCACGGAGGAAGAAACGTCTGTGAGAGGTTTTCCTGGATTAAATCTGGCTCTGGCGCTAATTTGCTCTGAGAGTTTAGAAAGCTTCTTTTCCTGCCTCGACCTCACCTGTCAGTGAGTCCATGGGTTGAGCATCATGCGTGCACCCCGAAAGGTTGCCGGTTCAGTTCCCGGCGGGGCACTTGCCTGGGTCGTGGGTTTGATCCCCAGTCAGGGAGTGTATGGAAGTCACGTTTATATTTCTCTCCCTAGTTCAGAGCTTCAGTTTTGACAAAAATCTCAGCCTGTGGAAGAAGCCCTTCTAAAGGTTGAGTTGAATCAAACAGGTATCGGAAGGAAGCGGTTTCTTCCCGTGTGTCCCGCAGTCGGCATCTTAGTGGCCCCCTTGTCCCCCTGCAGTTCCTGTAACGGGAAGAAGGTGAACATGTATCTCCAGGAAACCTAGACACACGGTTTCAAATGCTCTGCACAGCGTTCCTCTGAAGCATTAGCAACTTATTCAAAGTTTGCATCTTATTCATCAATGTCTTCATCACTGTCCTCACGTAAACATCATCATTGAAATGACTTCTCTCTGGATGGCAGTGTTGCCCCGGGAGGGTAAACTGTGTCTACACGGAGGTCGTGGGCCCGTCCTGCCATGTGTGTGAGTGGAGGTTCCCAGCATCCCAGGTGGGGAGCGCAGGTGAGCGCTCCTGTCTCAGCCGAATCCTTGCAGCAGCCCTGCCATGGCCTCCGCCCGCCTTCCCGCTGCCTGACTGTCCACGCCACGCACACCCACTGACTCGCCCTTGTTGACCTCAGAGCTGATCCTATCACCTCCCTGCAGGGTCTCCTCAGTGTGACATCCACAATCCTCAGTGTGACCTGCAGGGCCCATGCGACCTGCCCACCTGTGCCCTCCTGTCTGCTCCCCTGACCACACCCCAGGTCCAGGGGCTTGAACTCTGACCCTGCCCTGCCTTTGCCCTTCCTTCCCCGTCTTCCACCACTGGGAGCGCTCACCTCCAGGGACTCAGCGTGGGCGTGGCTGTCCGCAGGCCGTGTGCCCGGAGTTTGGCAGCTCCACTGTGCGTCCCTCTATCAGAGAGTGAACCTGCTATTTCTAACTTTCTGATTACACATCCTGGGAGCTGTGCATCTGCGTATCCCCAGCACCTAGTGTGTTAGCTAGCACATAGTAGGCACTCAGTAAATATGAATGAAGAATCAGTGAAATAAAGTAAGCATCGAAGTTCCTATTCCCAACTGATTGTAATTATAATTTAAAATTCACAGCTGGGCTCTGGCTGGTGTGGCTCAGTGGGTTGGAGCGTCGACCCATATACCGAAAAGTTGCTGGTTCGATTCCCAGCCAGGGCACATACTTAGATTGCTTGTTTGATCCCTGGTTGGGGCGCATAAGGGAAGCAACCTGTGGATGTTCATTTCTCACATCGATGTTTCTCTCTCTCTCTTTCTTTCTCTCTTCCTCATCAATGTCCTCATCACTGTCTTCATCAATTTTATTCATCAATGTCTTCATCACTGTCTTCACGTAAACATCATAATTGAAATGAGTTCTCTTTGGGTGGCAGTGTTGCCCCAGGAGGGTAAACTGTGTTTACCCTCTCCCTCTCTCTTCCTTCTCCTTTCACGAAAATCAATAAACATATTTAATCCTTGGGTAAGTATTAAAAAAAAATCACAGCTGGACCAAATCTAAAAGTGGAACATGATAAACTATATTTTTATTTGGCATTTTTTGGTGATGAAATTTCAGAACTAGATACGTTACAATTATACATCGACTCTGCCAGGTTTTATGTGCTCATATTTAAATAAATTTTAACTGGCACTGAGTTTAAATTATCTGTAGCTTTGTCATCGTTACGGTTGTTGTGGTGGTGTTTTATACTGAAATCGTGTTAAACATCAAGGAAGGTACAAGTGTAAAAGTAATAGGATTTTTAAAAGTTTAAAATACATAAAAGCCAACTCATTTATTAACATTTGTCATACGCCCGCCACTGGGCTAAGCAATTATCATGTTATTGAGATATATTATCTCATGAATCTCCCTGTGAGGCAGGTTTTATAGATAAGGAAATGGAAACTTAAAATTTAAATAACTGATTATGCAAGGTTGCACAGCTGAGGCGCGGTGGAATGGTGACAGGAACACAGGTGCGTCTGATGTCAAACCCGTGCCTTCCCTTCCCCCGGGCCAGCATTCCTACACATTCTTCCCGGTGAGTGACTGGCAGGTGTACCGCGCAGTGTGGCATTGGTGGCCACACTCTCTGAACGTGGAATGGCGTCTGGATAAGAGGGACAGGGTGATGGATTTCATCTTGGCGAGTGTGATTCTTTAACCCACTTGTGAGGCACGGCTCTTCCAGAAGGGACTGCAGGTCTACCCCTCTGTGCACACACACAACGCATGCAGGTACAGAGACACGTGTTTCTTAGAGGCTTGGGTTCCTTGAAAAACCCGGGCCAGGTTCCGGCTCTGCTTCTAGACAACCTCCTGTTTGGTGATGAACACACGGGTTCGAGAAGGTTGACCACGTGGCTCTGAAATTGTTGACCACAGCTGCCCGTCGAGAATGTCTTTGGGAAAGTGACTACTTTGTGGAATTTTCTGAATTCCGAGAAAAGTACTCTCATTTCAAGACTCAACTCAGCAACAAGTCAATAATACTAAATACATTCCAAGAATATTTAAGCATGGGAATAATTTTGTTTCTCTCACTAGAGACCCGATGCACAAAATTCATGCAAGACTAGGCCTTTCTTCCCCCAGCTGCCGGCACTGGCTTCCCTCTGGTACCCAGGACCCGGGCTCCCCTTGCAGACCTGGCTTCGTCCGGAAGGTCATCCAAAAGGACATCTGGTCTAATTAGCATATTATGCTTTTATTATTATAGATGTTTTTGAAGAAATCTATTAAGATACATTTTTCTGCTAAAATTTATAGAATTATAGTAGTGATTTAGAGTAAGATGAATTGGCATAGAAATGCATCACTTGACTCTAAGAGGAAAATGCATAATTAAAATGAAATGACACTGAATTGTGAAATCATTTCAAGATGAAAGACCTATATGGTAGCATAACCAATATCTATGATTGTGAATTGCTTTTTCTACCTGTGAAATTAAGTAATTACAATAATATAGAGCTATAGTATGTTTACTTGTCCCAATAATAGTTCTATAAAGAAAGACATTTTTGTAACTCTTCTATTTTTATTTTATTTTTAAAAATATATATTTTTATTGATTTCAGAGAGAAAGGGAGAGGGAGAGAGAGATAGAAACATCAGTGATGAGAGAGAATCATGGATCGGCTGCCTCTTGCACTCCCCCTACTGATGATCGAGCCCGCAACCCGGGCCTGTGCCCTGACCGTGATTCAAACCCTGACTTCCTGGTTCATAGGTCGACGTTCAACCGCTGAGCCCTCCGGTGGGACTAACTCTTCTATTTTTAAAGATGAAGAGACGGAGGTTTAACGTTTAGTAACTTGAGCATGAACTTGTAGAGAAAAGCTAATAAGCACCATCGTCAGAGTCCATTCGAGGTTGTCTGACCGTGACCCCAGGGGCTGTGCATTGCCCCCCAGAGGTGCCTGGTGAGAATCCAGGGATGAGAGAGCAAAACCTAGCAGCCGGGGGGTCTCCCAGCACAGAGGTGCCCAGTGTGGTGTGAAAGCTGCCCCTTGCTTCCTCGGACTCGCATCGTCTCACTTTGCAGAGCCTGAGGCCAGAGGCCACGGGAGTAATCAGACCCACGGCCCACACCCTTGCCTTGCGTGTCTCCTCTTCGCACTCCAGGACTGTAGCTAAGAGCATGGCTTTCTGGGAACCCGTTTAAGTGCCTGACCTAAATGCACGTGTTGTTAAACATGATTGCCCAGCCCAGCAGCGTGGCTCAGTGGTTGAGCATCAACCTGTAAACCAGGAGGTCACGGCTAGATTCCCGGTCAGGGCACATGCCCAGGTTTGAGGCTGGATCCCCAGTCGGGGGCGTGCAGGAGGCAGCCGATCGATGATTCTCTCTCATCATGGATGTGTCTGTCTCTCTCTCCCTCTCCCTTCCTCTCTGAAATCCATAAAAATATATTTAAATGCACATTATGTTAACAGCGATGGCCTCAGATGGTTGATGTGCAGAATAGTGGAGCCTCCCAGCAGAGTTGTGAAAGCCAGGAGGACAGTGACACAGAGGGGGCTGGCGAGGGCCTGCAGTTAAGAACATATTTGAGTAAACAATGGAGATGTATAATTTTTAAAAATACCTCTGAGGAAGTAAGGGATCCAGCCCGATGAGCGTGTGGTGCATTTGTGGGTGATGAGCCCATTAGTAATACCTCCGAGATCCCATCCACCCAGGGGCCTCCCCCTGCCCGGTGTGTGTGCGTGGTGGCGGCCGTAATGCCTTTCCCGCTGGGCCGTGCACAGGCCCTGCGTTTCGGTGGCGGGTGGAGGGTGTTCCGTTATGGATGGGGATGGAGATAAGTGTTTTAATTACTTTTTTAGTGTCTGTGCTTTTGTATTTGTGTCTCCTCTTCCCTTTTATTTCCTGCTGTTGAGATTATGGCCTCATCGCCACAGCAGGTGGCGGTGGCAAATTTGTTTTCTTTGCAAGCCTGGGAGATTTATTTTGTAATAGAACTGTTCCTTTTTAGTCTTTTATTATTAATGATTTCTTTGCTTTGGCATATAGTATACGTACGGAGTCCTAAATAGTCATCTCCTAGCGCCAGCTAAGAATTCCAGTCGTTAAGGGAAAAACCTTTGCCTCGGGCGTATTGTTTGATTTTTATTTTATTTATTTTATTTTTTGGCTTCACAATGTGAGG